AGAAAAGCAGACGAAAACATAGAGGAAGGCAACCAAAAAGCTTCAGTTTGCAGAAGAAACTCATGCACGTTTCAGAAGAAAAGAAAAACAGAGCAGAAATGCAGCACTCACACAGCAGACGGAAACGCAGAGAGAGAGAGATCAGACTCGGCCACACGCAAAGCAAAGAGCAAAAGAGAAACTCACAGACACAAGCGCAGGAGTCAGAGACGAGCTGCACGCAATGGGGGTTGAGCACTTTAAGTAGGAGTTGAAGCTTACAGTAGGAAAAAACGGACGAGAGAGAACCGAGAAAACGAGAGCTGGGTTCTGGGGGACAGAGATTTAGAAATGAAAAAGGAAGAAAGACCGAGAGTGAGAGAGCACCGGAAAAGATGGCAGAGGCTGGAAGCGTTTCTCTATGCAAAAACGAGGAACAGAGGCTGTGTCTTGCATGCAGTATAAGGCTCCACACTTCGATTTAAAAGCTAGGACTTTGACGCCAACTGGACTCCTCAACGTTCAAATTTTGCTTTCCATTATTGACTATCCCTTCTCCTTTATACACGTCTTCTTTGGATACGCCGGAGTTGTTTCCATCACTGCAAGAGGAATGATCTTAATTACGATGATAGGTCAAAAATAAAATGATATATATTGATCACAATAAGGAGGTGATGCACTTGGCACTAGCCGGCTTCTTTGAGAATCGTCGTTAAGGAAGATGGTTGCAGCTTTCACCAAGAAGACAATTTCAGAAGACTCGACCATGAGGTAGATTTCAAGTCTTCAACAAACTCGACGGGAAAGGAAGGAAACAGTAAAGAACTGAGAATGGCGAGGGGAGAGCTGAGACGGTTGGTCTATGAGCAGAGTTGTCTTTTTGGAAGCGGTGGTCATTATTTAAGTTGTAGTTATACTGGGTTTGTTTAGCATACAAAAGTTTGGTACCAGTTCAGAGGCAATGTTTTCAGGATATAATCTATCGTGATGTGTTCAATGTTGACGTGTTCTATGTATTACTGCTAATCTGGATCATTTTTCTGTACGAGCAATACAGATTACTTTTACTTACGTGGTATTTCCGTGTCTCCTCTTCGCTTATATAAGCCAAGGTGCTTATTTGATGAGCTAAGCAATGATATCTGCTATATTCTCATGCATGAAGCAAGCTATGGCTTTGGGCTGCTTCCCAAGGCTCAAGATAATTCACACGTCAAAAAGGCATATGGGTCAAATTCACATCCCTATAATGAACTATTTTCTTATGACCACGTGTATAGTGGTCATTTCCTTCTTCCAGAGCACAATGGGTCAAAAGGCTTCTTCTTACTTCCTCCAGTCCATCTATGGAGTGTGTGAAGAGGCTTCAATCTTCATCCTTCGTTTGTCTATTTGGGTTTTCTTTTTTTGGTGAGCTAAACCCCCTCCTCCCTTCTCTCCTCTCCTTGCAATAGATATGTGCATGAGTTTCTGTGTTGATTATGCTGTTATGGGACTGATTCTTATGGAAATTTGCTTGTGTTGAAATAAGGAGATTTGGAAGCTTAAAAAGTTCAAGTATTGATAATAGATATTTAAAAAAATATTTGAAGATGAAGTAGCTTTGTATTATTGTGTGAATATTATCAATCGTAGGATGTTTGCTAAAATGTATAAAAGAGGAATTGAAAGAATTCATATGCTTGTCAGACTAAGGTTAAATTGGATCTAAAATATATTTTTTATGGCATAAAAGAGCATATGAACCGAATCTAATTTTTTATCTCTTTATTTCTTAAAGTTAAGACATCAGCTTGATTTTGATTTTCATGGGAGATAAATTGGGTGATTGATGGTAATGATGATATGTGAATCTTGTTAATTTAATTGTTAGATTCTATTACCACTACTCTCATTATTTCCTTTCGAAAGTCATATCTAAGCATTAAACCAATTTAAAAAATCTTGAGGAACATATCCTCAAGTCAAAAGAGGAGTGAAGTGTCAAATAGTTTTTTTCTCTGTTTCTTTGAATGCTAAATTCATATTATACACTAATTGCAAATACAAATATCTTGATTATCTATTTGTTGTGTGAGATTTTAAAAATTTTCATAGACATTTAGAATGATTTCATACCGTGTAAATCAATAAGATTTTGCAAATGTGAGGATCAATTTTGTGTACATTAAAGATGGGTTCCAATGACCCACCATTAAAATTAATTCTCTTGTTTATAATCTAAATTAATAATTTATTTAAGTCTCATGTGAGATTTCAAGAATTTTCATAAAGAATTAAATTAATCACATCATCATATGAGATAATAAATCCTAACATATGTCATGATTCTCAATTTCTATAATAAATAAATAATTTTTGTAAATAATGATATAATACACAATTTAGAAAAATTAATTAATCAAATTAATGTATTTAAATTGTAATCACATTTACCAATTATATCTTTTAGTCATGTGAGACTTTTGAATTTTCATAAATTTTTAAAATAATCGTATTATTGTATGAGTCAATAAGACTCTACAGATATAACAATTAAGTTTTTAAAAAAATATGTAAATTATATACATACATAATAAGTCAATTAAATTAAAATATAGTTAAACACATGTTATTTAATCTTTTATCATGTGAGATTTTAAAATCTCCATAAATATTTAGGATAATCATATTACCGTATAAGTCAATAAGACTTTGCAAGTATAACGATTAAGATTCTTTAAAAAAATATATACGTGCTTAAACAAAGTATTACTAACACTTAAAAATATAAATAAATAAATAAAGTTGTTAAACTCTTTTATCGTGTGAGATTTTAAAATCTACGCAGATATATAGAATAATTGTATTACCATATGAACCAATAAAATTCTGCAGGTATAACAGTTAAATTTCCAATCATAAAATATAAAAATAATAATTTAAACTCTTTTCTTTTCTTATTTCAGAATTTCAAAATTGAAAAAATAATTAAAATTAAATTAGTTTTTTTGCAATTTAAAACATACATATCAAATTTTAAAAAATTTATTCTATTTGCAGTGAATTATTTTTAATTAATTTCTCTTCAAAAAGATATGTTCACCAACAAATTTTTAATCTCGAGCTACGTGAACTTTAATTCCCATTGCAGGGTACGTAGGTCTTAGAGCCTAATTTTGAATCAAGTCTTCCCTCATAAATAAATAAATATTTTTCATTTTATTATTATTATTTTTTAAAACACATGAATAAGAAAGAGATAATTAAAATAACTTTAAAATCATATTTATTTAGCATAACAAACTTCAAATAACTATTCTTACGAACGGGTGTTGTGAGATGCCTAACACCTTGCCCACGCTCAATCAACTCTCAAATCTATTTTCTAATTTTGCATATCATCCTTATTCTCCTTTAAATGGTTTTCCAAAATTTACCTCAAAATTTTAATGGCGACTCCTATTCAGTCGATTCCCACCCTGAAGGCCAGAACCTTCATGCCCACACACCATCCGCATCACATTTTCAAGTGCAAAAATATCAATATTCAACATTGAGATTGACATAGAGGACAGCATAATTCCATATTTTTAGATGGTTCCACTGTCTAGCATGAAAAATATAATAGGATTTCAAAGTGCAGTGAAACTTAGGACCCTTTTAGTTTCTACTTTCGAAAACTATTTTTAGCTTCTTGTGGTTTGTGTTTTGAATTTTATTATTTTCAAGTGTTTTCATTTTTGTAAAAATGAAAACACCTTAAAATTATTTTATTTATTTTTCTTGTTTTCAAAACACACTATTATTGAAAAAATATAGTTAGTTTGACCAATTTTTATCATAAACCACTACCATTAATAGCCTAGAACCATCACTATTAACTTATATTTTAATTATAAAATTGTTTTTGAATTAACATTACTAAATAGATTTTTACTTTGTTTTGTTTTGAAAAACAACTATGAAAAATGTAGTACAAAATAATTTTTAAAAACAAAAAATTGGACGAAACCAAATACTCCAAATAAATAAAAGAATGGATTAAAGTGTAATTTTGCCCATAAACTATTCTTATTGGGGTAATGTTACCCCTAAGCTGCTCATTATAGTAATGTTGTCCTTAAACTAATTGAATCAAAGAAATATTGCCCCTGCTCTTTAAATGTTCATTAAATGTAGCTAACAAGACCCACTTTTCATAAGTTAAAGTGCAATTTTGCCCTTAAACTATTCTTAGAGGAGCAATGTTGCCCTCGCAATTTAAAAATCATAAACGTTTGTTAACTATAACTAGTGGGACTCACTTTTTATTATTTTTCTCTAATTAACATTGAATTAGGTTAGGATTTCAACTAGATTGTGGCATTTCAGTTGCTAAATTAGTTTTTGGATAACCACTTTATGATTGTCTATATATAAGTTTTTTCATTTATAATGCGTGTGAGAGAGTATATTTATTTATAATAATCAATTTTGTTAGTTGATTCACTCAAGACAATAAGAAGTGACCTTTTTACCCTAAAAATGTTGTCTATATACTTTTTATTGGATCAAGAGATCTTGCAGCGTTGTCAATGTAAATTTATACTTCAATTGTTATCATATTTCTCACTCAAGAAAATTAATACAAAAAGCTTTTCTCAACATACAGTTCATGACTTGTTGGAATATTGGTGAAGTATATAATGACATAAATAAATGCTTACACATGAATATTAAATGTTAGAAAAGATGTGAATGGAATGATATTAATACAAAACGTAATTTTTATTATCTCTCACTAGCTAACAAGCATTTGTGATTTTTAAACGGGAAGGACAATATTACTCTTCTGAAAATAACTTAGGGATAATATTACACCTTAACTCATGAAAAGTGAGTCACACTAATACAGTTAATAGAAGTTTAAATGGCAAAGATAATATTACTTCAATTTAATTAGTTTAAAAAACAACATTGCTATAATGAGTAATTTAAAAGTAATACTGCTCCTGTGAGACTAATTCCAGTGCAAAATTGTACCTTAACACTAAAAGAATTGGAAAGCACCAGTGAATTTAGAATACTTGAAGATTTATACAGGAAATAGAAGATGATGAGTGAATATAATAACTACGTTAATACTTCACCTTAGCGAACCACTAAACACATCATATACAACAATTACCTAACAAAAGGATGGCCTTGTTATACAACAAACTTCAGTCAGAAAATTCTTCATAAAATGGTCCAAATAATCAAATTCTTTAGCAAAAGGGAAGTCTTTGTGTAGCTTCAAAGCTTGCTTGCCATCGATCAGATTGCAGGTTTCTTCTAGGTGCTTGCTCGCCTGTAAACATACGATCTAGAAAAGAACAAGAAGGCAAACAGCTCCACGATACTAAGAACAGCAAGGAGAGCATAGAAATAATCAAGATGAGCACGATTAAGATTACTAGAGAACCAACTATCATACAAATCGCCACTTGTCGCTTTTTCAATGCACGAGACAAGAAAGCTACTTAGAAAGTTCCCTACACCAAAAATGCTCAAATAAAGGGCAAGGCCAACACTTCTTAATTCATCGGGGACTTGATCATAGAAGAACTCTTGCAAGCCAACCATTGTGAAACCATCAGAAATTCCAAACAAGACATACTGGGGAATTAACCACCAGATGCTCATTGGAATTGTCACTTCAGGCTTATCAACTAGCCCATAGTCTCGAGCCATTTTGAGTCTTTTCATCTCAACGAAGGCTGCTACTATAATAGAAATAGTCGAAAGAAACATTCCACTTCCAATTCTCTGTAGCATGGAAATGCCAGCGGATTCTCTAGTGATAGCTCGGGCTATAGGAACAACGATGCGGTCATAGATAGGAATGAACAGTACAATGGAAAGACTGATGAAGGATTGGAGGGAAGCAGCCGGTACGAAAATCCCAGGCCAAATTTTCCTGTCCAATGTAACCCCTTGCTTGGTGAAGAAAGTTGGAGACTGAGCAAACACAACAGCATAAATCAAACTTGTGGCCCATATTGGAAAAAGCCTAAGGACTGCTTTTGCTTCTTCAACCTCATAAACGTCACAAACTTGACCATCTTTTCTGGAACCATCTGGGGCAACTAGTGCTTTGTTAAGGAACCTGCCATCCACATTTGAGAAGGCATGCAATGTCATAGATATCGAGTTTCAGATATAATCATTTCAAGAAAGCTTTCAAGTGGAATAAAGAACCTGCCATCCCTTTTACTCTAAGGGTGATTGAAATCTTACACAAAAAAGAAAAATCTGGCTCAATCGAGAAAATGACTATGAGCAATAAAAAGTATAAATAGATATTGCAATGGTGATAGAAATCTTGCTTGATAAAGAAAAGGATCTTGCTCACTACAGAAAATGATTATGACTATAAAAAGTATAAATATAAAAATAAAAAAAAAACATGATAACCAAAATCAGGAACAAAAATGCATCAGTAGTTGCCTTGACACATTGATTTTTCTATAAATGATCCATTTGTCAATAACCTCGATGCCTCATATCACTTGCGTCACTTGTATTAAGGAGGACAAGTACATTTGCCATTTGTATTAGTATGGTAAATATTTAAAATTGCTTTGTATGAGCATAGCAGCACATGAACAAGGGAAAGTAAAAATGCGTGCACAATCGTTATCTCCTAAGAAGCATTATAGTTGGCCAAAGAAAAATTTACTTAGAGAAGGAATGTGATAGAACCCAATAATATCCAGCAAAAATAATAGAATGCAATACAACTACTGATATTGATAATGAAATATAGTTGTTTCCTTAAGCCCGAGAGTACAACACTCAAATTTCACAAAAACTACAACACACAGGCTTTAACACACCAGAGCAACGCAATCCACAAATATACAGTACAGACCACAACATATACAGACATGAGATGCCATATCTCTTGCGAGTCTTCTATCCATAAAGTTAACCTGATTCCCGCAAAGCATGTTACCCTTACAATAATCTTCTATCAGCTCCTACAATCATCAGTCAGCCTGATTTTGAATTTTCTTGAACAACTCCTATAGTCATTTAACCTGAATCCCCCCCGCGCTGGGGGGGGGATCCTATGATGTGTCTAGTTTATTTGAGGAAGGAATAGACATCCAATATGCCCATCTTGCCAATAAATCCTTTGAATCTGACATTTGATATTGCCTTGGTTAAGAAATTAACCACTTAATTCTTAGTTGAAATGTGAGTCAACTCAAAAATAGCAGCTTCAAACTTCTCTTCAATGAAATGCCAATCAATCTCAACATGACTGGTTCTATCATTTTGCACTGGATTTTTAAAAATACTAATAATTGATGTATTATCATGATGCTAATAATTGCCACTTTATCACGCTTAATAGGTCTAGCCATAAAAGTTCTTAATTCATCCATTATTTCTCATATCATGTGAGCAAGGGCCCTATAAGAAACTGTTGAGACGCTATTAATAAATAACCAGAAAACAGCAAACTAGCAACAACAGAGCACAAAATAAGGGAATTCCTGAGGTTTTAGATTAATGTGATAAGGTGCTAAATCAGAGTTACAAGAAGGACTCCCTGATTCAGTGTAAAACCCTCTTCCCTTGTTACAATGAAAATCACAGCAACTGAGATAAACCCAGCCCCTCTACTACAGAACAACCGCTGGCTTTTGAGAGGCCAATCCTCTCCTCACGACTCTCAAATACCAAAATATGACATACCCCACTTGGGGACCTCAAGCATAATTATAAACCCAAAAGACAACCCTCACGGACTCCAAAAAGAACCCTCTCCTAAGCCAGGTCAAAAGCAACTCTAAAGCAGCCTTAGTTGTTATTTTCTTGCTCCTTAATAGTTGGAGCAGTCAGGTCAACGTTCTGACCATCTGAAGGCATCTTTCCTTTTTCATGCTTCTTCTTAGGTTTCCTTTTGTAGGTCTGGCCAGCAAAAGTACTCCTATCATTACCCTCCCTTAAAAGTTTCACCTTGTCCTCAAGGTGGAAATCAGGGAATTGCATAGAGATGGTCTCAGCATCCTCCCAACTACTCTCGAAATCCTGCATACCTTGCCACTTCATGAGTACTTCACGCTGTCCATTCAAGAGTTTCCTGACTTTAAGAATTTCCTAAGGCTGCACTTGTAATTCTAAATCTGCTGACAGTGCTGTAGATAGAGTGGGCGTGACCGCCGCAGCATGTACAGCCTTCTTAAGGTTGGAAATGTGAAAAACCGGATGAATAAGTGCAGTAAGGGGTAGTTCCAGCTGGTATGCCACTGTCCCCACCCTCTCTAAGATCTTAAAAGGCCCATAAAAGTGAGGACTGAGCTTCTCGTTAATTCGTTTGGCCAAAGACCTCAGTCTATAGGGTCTGATTTTGATGTAAACCTGATCCCCAACTTCAAATTGAATATCCCTTCTATGTTTGTTAGCTTGTTCCTTCATCTTGCATTGTGGCCGCAGCAAATTTTCCCTCAGGGTAGCAATGACCAGATTTCTGGCTTGGACTTGTTCATTGACAGCTTCAAGAGTAGAAGGCTCCTCATTCAATTTAAGGAAGGTAGGAGGGTCTCTTCCATAAACTGCCTTGAAGGGGGTCATGTTGGCAGCACTTTGATATGAAGTGTTGTACCAATATTCAGCCCAAGATAGCCACTTAACCCATTGATTCGGTTTCTCACTGATAAAACAGTGTAAATATGTCTCAAGTCCTCAGTTTAGCACCTCGGTTTGGCCATCGGATTCCGGATGATAAGCAGAGCTAAGGCATAATTGGATGCCCGCTTGTTTAAACAACTCCTTCCAAAATTGACTGATAAACACCCTATCTCGGTCGGAAACAATTGTTTTTGGAAAACCATGTAACTTAACGATCTCGGAGACAAAAACTTCAGCAACATCCTTGGCAGTAAATGGGTGAGCCAGGGGCAAAAAATAGGCATATTTAGTGAGTCTATCAACAACAACAATGGTGTCATACCTCTTGGATTTAGGAAGCCTAGTAATAAAATCCATGCTTATACCCTCCCATATGCTTTGTGGAATAGTGAGAGGTTGCAAGAGTCCTGCTGGAGATAAAGCTTGGTATTTATTTTTTTGACAAACATCACACTGTGCTACGTAAAGCTGAATATCTCTCTTCATGCCTTCCCAATATGCTACATTAGCCAATCTCTTGTAAGTGCGAAGGTGCCCAGAATGTCCCCCGACCGGTGAGTCATGAAATTCCCGCATTAATAAGGAAATTCGGCTGGAGTTTTTTGGTAAAACCATTCTGCCCTTGTAAAGTAAGTACCCTTTTTCCAAGCTGTACCCTTCTACACTGTGTGGCTTGGCAATGAGCTGCTGCAAAATTTGAAGTAGCTTGGGATCCGATTGAACCTCCTTCTCCCATTCTTCAATGTCATCGTGCTGCTATCAAGAGAAACCGAACAGCTCTATAGGTTCTTCCTGCCTAGAAAGAGCATCCGCAGCCCTATTCTCCTTGCCGGGCTTGTAGACAATCTCAAATTTAAAACCCATGAGTTTTGAAACCCACTTTTGCTGATTTTCTTCAACTATTCTTTGCTCCAGGAGGTACTTCAAGGCCTTTTGATCAGTGCGGATAGTGAATTTCTGCCCCCATAAATAATGTCGCCATTTCTAGCTCCCTCTCATAGATAGAGCATTGTTTAGCCCTATTAGAGAGTTTTTGGCTAAAGTATGCTATGGGTTGCCCCTTTTGCATCAGTACAGCACCTACACCAGATCCAGAGGCATCCGTTTCAAGTTCAAAAGGAGCAGAAAAGTCCGGCATGGTGAGCACCGAAAGAGTGGTCATTGCTGTTTTGAGCTGTTCAAAAGCTTGTTCAGCTTCTTGATTCCACCTGAAGGCATCTTTTTTTAGTAAATCCGTGAGTGGACTTGCTATTTTGCCATAGTTCTTGACAAACCATTGATAATATCTGGTCAGCCCTAGGAACCCTCGCAAGGATTTCACATTCTTGGGCTTAGGCCATTTCAACATGCTGTCAACTTTTTCTGGGTCAGCTTGGACTCCTGCTTTTGAAATGATATGACCAAGGTACTCAATCCTTGGTTGAGCAAAACTGCATTTCTTCAAATTAATCACCAATTGATTTTCTTTCAAGCATGTTAGTACCACATTTAAATGCTTCAAATGGGAATCTAAATCAGTGCTGTAAATGAGGATATCATCAAAAAATACCAGCACAAACTTACATAAATACTCTCTAAATACCTCATTCATCAAGGATTGAAAAGTTGAGGGGGCATTAGTCAAGCCGAAAGGCATCACCTTAAATTCATAATGACCTTCATGAGTTCGGAAAGCAGTTTTGCGCTCATCGCCAGCTCTGATTCGTATTTGGTGGTATCCCAATTTCAAGTCCAGCTTTGAAAACACAGTAGCCCCCTTGAGTTCGTCTAATAATTCATCGATGGCAGGAATGGGAAATTTGTCGGGCACTGTAATCTTATCCAAGGCCCTGTAATCCACACAAAACCTCCAACTTCCATCCTTCTTTTTCACCAGCAAAACAGGATTGGAAAAAGGGCTGTTGCTAGCTTGTATGATGCCCGTCTTCAACATGTCTTTCACCATATTCTCTATTTCATTTTTTTGTAAATGGGGATACCTATATGGCCTTATATTGGGTGGTTGCTCACTAGGTTTGATGGCTATAGCATGATCCTTAGCTCGTGAGGGTGGTAATCCTTCTAAAGCTTGACACACCGAAGGGAATTGTTGCAACAACTCTTCTATTTCTGAAGTCAGGGTCACGGCCTCTCCATTCTCCCCTATCAATCCTTTATACTCAACTAAATACCCCTCCCCTTTCTTCCTCATGGAGCGCATCAAAGACTTAAGGGTAGCCTGATTTTTTGACAAGGTGGGATCACCTTGTAAATAAACTCGGTTGTTTTTCTTGCCAAATTTCATAGTCAATAAACTCCAATTCATTTTGACGTCACCTAGTGATTTTAGCCATTCCATACCCAGGATAGCGTCAATGCCATTCAGACGAAAGGGATAGAATGTTTGGATTATGTCAATACCCTGTACCTTCAAATGGAGGTCCTTACAGCGTTGCTTCCGTTTGAGTGTACCCATCTCCTACTGTAATTGTGTATTCGGATATCTCATCCGTTGGGAAATCCTTCTTGCTACGCAGCTCCTCTGAGATGAAATTGTGGGTGGCTCCACTGTCTATGAGAATGACAATCTCTTCCTCCCCGACTTGGCCCCTTACCTTCATCGTATTGTTGTCTCCAAATCCAACTATAGAATTTAGAGAGTTCCATGCATGTAGCTTCTTCCTCTTCCCCGTTGCATTCCCTTTCCATTTCCTGCTCCATCTCGGCCTCCTCTGTATCCTTCTCGGGATTCATCTCTAGCAGCATTACTTGGTAGTGCTTGTTTTTACATTGATGATTTAGGCCAAATTTGTCTCTGCATTTAAAACAAAGTCCCAGCTCCCTTCTGCGACTAATCTCAACGTCCGAGAGCCTACGAGAGAAACCCCCACGCCGGAAAGTGGACGAGCTTGCCGAACTCCCTTGGAACTTCAATCCCCTACTTTTGTTTCTGCTTTCTTGGTCGTGTCCGTGGTCACATACGCAGAGCTCGTGAGGATTGTGGCCTTGCTCAACTCTGGTACGTGGGTTACACGTGAGAAATAAGGCTGGGCTTGGTTTGTTTTAGGCCCAGATTGATAACATTGGAACCCATTTCTATGTGGGCCTTTGCCTTCCTCAAGTATTCAGTTCCTTTCTTCCACACACAGGGCAGATTCGATGACTTCACGTAGAGATAGGGCACTCGTGAGCTTCAATTCTGCTTTGACCTCTGCTCTCAACCCATTCCGGAAGGCGCCAATGAGGCATTCCTCGGAAGCTTCTCTTAATGATGCGAATAAACGTTCGAACTCCTCTACATATTCCAGCACCGTGCGCTCCTACCTTGCTGAAAAGAGCATCTCAAATCCCCCCCCACATTGAGTAGAACGAAACCTACGTAGTAACTCGCTCTTAAACTCAGTCCAGCTTCGCAGTAGGGTCCGTGTATCAATCCATTGCTACCAGTTAAGTGCCTTCCCTTCAAGACATACCACCGCAGCTTCTATCTTTTTTGGCTCTGCTATGGTGTTGACCAGGAAGTAGCGTTCTACTTGGAAAAGCCAACCCAATGAGTCTTCTCTCACAAAAGTAGGTAACTCTAATTTTGTGTACTTTCCACCATCCCTCTCACCATGTGGGTTACTACCAGACGCGTTCCCATGGTCACTAGCCTCTTGTTCCGGTACACAAGTGTCCGCCATTGTTCTTTGTATCTGTTCCAAGGCCTCATTTGTCTTTTCTAACACCTCCTTAATGGTGGTTATATCTCTGGTCAGCACACCGTCTCTTTGAGCTCTTGAACATCCGGATTCGCATATTGCACGCACTCATTCATTGTCACCGTGGTCTGTAAAATCCCCTAAGATCTCACCGCTCTGATACCAAATGTTGAGACGCTATTAATAAATAACCAGAAAACAGCAAACTAGCAACAACAGAGCACAAAATAAGGGAATTCCTGAGGTTTTAGATTAATGTGATAAGGTGCTAAATCAGAGTTACAAGAAGGACTCCCTGATTCAGTATAAAACCCTCTTCCCTTGTTACAATGAAAATCACAGCAACTGAGATAAACCCAGCCCCTCTACTACAGAACAACCGCTGGCTTTTGAGAGGCCAATCCTCTCCTCACAACTCTCAAATACCAAAATATGACATACCCCACTTGGGGACCTCAAGCATAATTATAAACCCAAAAGAAAACCCTCACGGACTCCAAAAAGAACCCTCTCCTAAGCCAGGTCAAAAGCAACTCTAAAGCAGCCTTAGTTGTTATTTTCTTGCTCCTTAATAGTTGGAGCAGTCAGGTCAACGTTCTGACCATCTGAAGGCATCTTTCCTTTTTCATGCTTCTTCTTAGGTTTCCTTTTGTAGGTCTGGCCAGCAAAAGTAATCCTATCAGAAACATACTTTTCCACTACTTTCTGCGACTTTTGCTTCTTGCTTCTCTATGTGATAATGATTCCTCAAGCATAAGTGCATTATCCTGAGGTGGATCTTCTATCAATAATAGAACCTACCGAATATGTATTGGTGAAGACATCTTTTCCTCTAACTCATTTTCATAGGATCTTAGTCCTATGCCATGTGTCAAAATTCTATAAACTGCATCCATACGCTCAAACATGATTTTCTTATTAACACTAACTACTAACTACTTTTGGATAGTTTCTTTTAAAAGAAAAAAAAAAGACAAACTGATCACTAACATCTGATTTAAAATAAAATAAAATAAAATAAAACAATTTCCATCCTTTTTTTTAATTGCAATTGGTTGCCTATCATCAGGGACAACTCAGATAGATGGTTTCTCTAATCTCTGTTCTGTACAGAAATTACAATTTTGATGGTTCCCACAACTTCAGCTTTTTTAGATGCCTTCCAACTTGAATTTTACTGATTTGTGCTCCAACTTCATGATAAGTTGGGAGAAAATTATGTTTCCTAATTACTGCAACAACATCACAAGAGGATTTTTCCTTGTCAAAGTGGTTGGCTAAATTTCTTGGCCAAAACTTGAAATCTACATTACATTTATAGGAGATAAAAGAGCAAGATCTAAGCTGTGAAGTATGAACGTGAAAGAACCTATATGAACAAAATATTCAAAATAATATTAACAAAAAGCCTATCTAAACAAAACACTTGAAATGATCTCATCTCATTCTAATTAAAAAAAAAAAAAAGAATAACTCTTAGTTAAAAAAACACTTCAATTAACCATGAATGCATATAAACATTATAAAAAAAGCAAAAATTCTTAATTAAAATTAATCTTCTTCATTCTCGGTATTTTTGTTTTGTCTTCTGGCTCTTAGTCTTCTTCTACTCACTTGGTAGCAAGGATCTTGATTTTGGGCATCCTCATGTTTGTCTTTCCGTGAAGTACGTATCTTGGTCTTTTAGTAACCATGAACATATAGTTTTCTTACATTAACTGCCACTCATGGTTTTATTATGCTAACCACAAATGTGTAGTTTTTTGCTAACCATCAGAATTTCGCCTTTTTTTTTTTTTCACAAATAATATGTATTTTATATGCAAATCACCTTCTGAATTTTTTTAGCTTTTCTTGATCTTGTAACTGGTTCCCTGTCATCATGGACAACTTGGAGAGATGCTTTCACTGGTCTTTACCGCCATTTCATTTTCAATGTTCTACGGGACAACTTCTGTATTACTAGTCTGTGTAGCTGACTCCAGTTTTGCTGGTTTGTACAGCAGCTCAATGATAGATTGGAGAGACAAGACGTTTAATGACTCACAGCCACTTCATGAAAGGTTTTTGATTTTGCAAAATGGATAGCTGTATTTTTTGGCCAAAATCTTGAAATACAATACATTCATGGATGATAAAATAGAAAGATCAAAGCTCTTAAGTAACTATGTGATAAAACATATTTAAACAAAATATTCAAATTAATTTTAGGATAAAGGGTATCTAAACAACTTATTTGAAATGAGCTTTATCCTAACAAAAAACAAAATAACTCCATCAAAACAAAAATAAAATACCTAAGTTGATCTTAAACATATGGAAAAATGATCCAAAATAAACAAAACAGCTTATTCTAACTTACAATAAAATAATAAAAACTAACTTTAATTTTCATCTGTCATCAATATAGGTGATAAAACAGTCCCCCAACCCCCAATACTAGTTTTCATTTTTCACGGTCCCATACATCACTATGAATAAGAATTTGCTGGACAGAGCAATGATTTAAGGAATTTAGAAAGGTTTTATTCATCATAAATGGAATAAAGAAAAAAAAAGGTTCTTATATGAACGGAGAAGCAAATGTATTTTCTTGTATTTCTGAGCATGAGGATTACACAATACATATGGGCAATAAGGAGAAGCCTCAGAAATTAGGGATACCAAAAGAGGCATAAACCAGATCCCAAATTAACTCCTATAACTATGGCTATTTATGGCATAATAAAAAAAAAAGATATTCTAATATTAATAATTGAGACATATAACATTAATATCAATAAAAAGAGACATAAAGCGTACTAATCGTACCTAAACTGTTTGGAGCCTTGGTGAGGCATAGTACCCCGAGCTTCCTCTTCACTAGCTATTGCTGAGGGTGTAATTCCCCAATTGCGTAGGGCAACAATGAACACCTTACCAATTCTCAAAAATGGGCTCTTTTCATCTCCTTGGATGCTAAACCGATAAGTCCAAGTTCCACAAAAGAATACAAACAATGCAATAACCATCACAATGCAAGGGATTCCAAATCCAAGAACCCAACCAACATTATCCTGGATATAGTTCAATACTGAAATAGTTACTAAGAGACCTGCACAGAAAGTAAAATACCACCAGTTAAAAAAGGAGCCTCTAGCCTTCAGTTCTTCTGGGTGTTCCCTGTCAAATTGATCAGCTCCAAAAGCCTGTACACAAGGCTTGTGTCCACCTTGTGCAAATGCAACAAGATATAGAGAGAAGAAGAATAAGATTACTTGGATCTCAGAACAAGAGGTGCTACTATTAGCAAATTGACAATCAACAGTGCTGACAGGAAGCACTGCTGATAAAGTCAACAGGCCCAGTGCCTGCATATAAATCCAATAACAATTCAGATGAGCAATTAAATATGAAGCATATCAAAACGCAAGTAAACAGACCTTCAAGATCATTTCTAACAAACTTCAGACAGATTATTTTACATAGACTTGCTAGTAACCTGATGAAAAGCCTGAAAAATTCAACTGAACCTGTAGCCAAATCATGGTAGGAAAAACTTCCAGGAACCAAAAAAAAAAAAAAAAACATGAGTTAACAAAAGAATGAACGCAGTGACAATCAATTTGATAACTATTTCTGCAATTCTTTATCATAATCAATACCTTGACCTAAGCTAAATTTAAAATAAAATGGATGTAAATTGTCATATAATCAATTAAATTGACTTATTTAATGAATGATTTTATCTGGGGGAAAAACATAGTGATTACTGAAACAATTTATGAGAGACAAAGGGAGTTCTGTCCTATTGTTTGCATGCAACGCTAATTAATAAGCTCACGAAGGTAGATATATTAGCTGAGAATTAGATGCATTCCATTAAAAGAAACTTCAATGATGTTACTTTTAAGAAATATTGTAAGCAGAAGCAGTATTGTGTGTAGGTAGCAGTCAAATGAAACATGATAGATAGTTAGAAGTAGTGAGTTATTACTTATCAGTCGGTGGCTGTCAATACATCAGTTACAAAACATAACTGAAGGTAACGGAAAAACAGACACTCTTCCTACTCAACAGGAAGCATAAAACAGGTAAGTGTTCCGGAGTTGCGGAATCATCTAAAGAAATTCTGTCGAGAAAAGTCTATTGTCTGGATTCTTCAAACGACGTCTTTCCAACCATTCCATGGATCAAGATGTATAGTAGCAGAAAGTCGAGAAACTAACCAGAATGTAGATGAAGGATGCTAGCATGATGGTGCGGTAACGACCGAGAAAAGAATCGGCAACAAAAGCACCCAGCAGAGGAAGCAACGACGCCGTTCCAGACCAGATATTCACGTTCTCCGCCGCCGTCACCGTGGATTGCCCCAGGGGCCCCGTCAGATAATTTATGAGGTTCGAATTGATTCCATAGTAAGCAAACCTCTCCGCCACTTCCACAACTATGGGAAATACCGCAAAATGAAACGGGAGTAAATATTTCGCATACAGGATTCATTACTGAAAGTGATAAGCGAAGTGATCAGTTTACCAATAATGAAGGCCGCTGCTCGCCAACCACCGGAGTAAGATCGGAGTGCTGGCCGGCCCTTGAAATCGACGGTACCATCCACCGTATCCTGCAGCAGCGGAGTTTCGGTTTGGGAATTGTCGGAGATAGCCATGGAAATGGTGTGGACCACCGTGAACCACCACCAACACTTTCCGCAACTCAGTAATCCAGCGCAAGCTAAATAAATGATTGCTGGCTTGGATGTGTCATAGTCGGTCTGAGAGAGAGAGATGGAGGGCGTTGGTTTAAGAAGTGACTGGTGGTGCACATGAATTTTAAGATTTCTCGTGAATTCACAGTAGATGTAGCTCAATTCAATCCTTCGTTTAGTGGGTCCATGGTAGATTGGCAGTTATTTTTAGAAAGAATTAAGTTATCACATAATATAACTAATTATTACAAGTCCCGTCGATATGTACATATTGAAATTTATCATGTAAAAAAAAATTTTTTTGAAACCGACAATTTATCATAGAGCTAGATCCGGTTTGAGGCTGATAATTTAAGCTGATGCAACTTGAGCTTATTTGTAATAGGATTAAAATACTTATATATATATATATATATATATAAAAGAGGGAGACTTACTTTGAGGCTCCATTCTAAATTCATTAATAACAGTTATCATTCTTCTAAACTTAATTTACTAATGAACCTGAAAATAATTAATAGTTTTGAGTAAAATTTGTGTGTAATTCTCCGTAAAAATAAGTCATATAATTAAGTTTGATCTTGATATTTTTTTTAAGTTTTTGAACTTATTTGGCCAACCTAAATATTAGAATTATTAAAAATTATATTATTTTTTCCTTAATTTTTAAGTTAATTTATACTTTTTCCTTGGCAAATGACATAACATTGCAACACACTTTTGTCATACACTTGTACGTGTGAAACCAAGCATTAAAAGAATAAAAATGAAAGCATATAAAGTAATCTTTTTAATTTATTTTTTAAAGTATATAAAATAAAAATGATAAACAAATCAGAGTATCAACTAAACTAAATCTAGTGCAAACACATAATTTAGAATAGAGTTAGTAATTCGAGCGGACCAAGCTTATTAGGATCAAGTTTAATTCAGGTCGGATTTATTAGGTTAAGCCTGGCCCTAATTTTTTTCAACTAGGTTCGGGCTAGCCCATTGAGCTTGGCCAAAATTTCCAACTCTATATATACACATAGAGCTAGAAATTTCAACAATCGGGCTTATTTGGATTAGGCTCATTCAGATTGAACTTAAAGTATCCTACCCTCTTGAAAAGGTCCATATAGCTAAACCTAACTTTAACTTTTTTCAGAAAGGTTCGGGTTGACCCCGTCGGGCTTGGCCTAAATTACCGGCTTTAGTTTATAGGTCAATCAAAAATATGAAAAAACAATTAAAAACAAAATATTAAAAAAAATAACTTCAAATAATGAAGTTGTCTCATTAGGCGTAATAATAACAACTATAATTTTTGTTAAATTTTTATTTGAAAAAATTTGATATTATTAATCATGTTATAATAGTATTACATAATATTTTTATATCTATTGTCTCCTTTGAAAAATGATTTAAGAGAAAAATGCTCCATTTATTAGCATAAGGTGCTCAGTACTCCTCAAAGAAAAGCATAAGTGGAAATGCATTTTAACCCTAATAATAATTGCAATAATATTTTTAAATAAATTATAAAAAATAACCTTTTAATTAATAATAATTAAGCCCTTTAGATTTTTAGGTTATTCTTTATAATTATTTTGGTCAACTAACATTTTTTTCTAAAATATTGCACCACCCAAATTTAATATTTTGATATTTTATAAATTTGTATTGAAAATGAGGGAATTGAAACATTCTCACTCCACTAAACATAATTAACCAATATAACTCCTAGTAATCTGAGACTTAACTCGAAAGGATGATTACCAAGGTTTAATTTAAAAGCAAGGAATCCCAAGTTTTCTAAATAAAAATGAGTTTAAACCAATCAAAATCTTTCATATTAGAGTAAAATTAAGTTACGGAAGCATGAGATATCTCAGAGGAGTGAAAGAAGAGAAAAATGGTTGAAAAACAAAACATATGCTGTGATACAGGGTAATGCACTGTGGCATGTTACTTTCTGTGCCACGTGCCATGGCTCAGGTGCCATGCATTGTAACGTGTTGCACGAAATTTCAACTGACAACAGAATCGGGGGAACTTTTGACTCACCCCGATTCTCTGTCCGACGTTCAAATGATGTGATTTATGTGTCTACGAAAAGCTCTTTACATGAATTGACTAATGGTATGGGTTTTACTTCCAAAACAAGACACACTAGGAAGTTAGACACCCAAACATATTTCAATCACTTTTCACAACTTTAACACGAAATAGGTGTCCAAAACCATCAACATGTGCCAAAAGCTTTTCTTAACATCTGGACCATATCCAATGGACCTAGGAGTAGGACTATCAATACAATAATATGTCACAACCACTGAAACATCAATATAATAAAAATTCACTCCTCAACCCCATTTTATCAAAAACAAAAAGGGAGGTAAATTATCATTGCATTTCACCTAAATCATTCAAAACATGTTCAAATCATTATTTCTATACTTACACTAGTATTTTAGCCCTATCAACATATATATATATATATATATATCAATATACACAAAGACTAAGGGCCCAAAATACAAATCTAACATTCCCAAGTACAAAATAGTGCAAGTGTGATGACATATCAATATACACAAAGACTAAGGGCCCAAAATACAAATCTAACATTCCCAAGTACAAAATAGTGCAAGTGTGATGACATGCATTCTAGAATTGGAAATTTATACACTATTACACAATTAAATCTAAACTAGAGGCATACAGTAGGAATATGCTAATTTCTTGCCTCTTTAGCCTTCTCCATTTCAATACCAGAGCTAGAGCCTAAAAAATGTTAAATGAAAGGGGTGAGTCTAGCCATTCAGTAACCAAGGTTAAGCCTACCCTATGCAGTTATATATTAATTATAACCACAAACATACACAAGGAAATCAAGTATGTAAAACATGCTGGCATATAACATAACTTGTTGATTGTCATTAAATAACATCTTTAACTCTTATAACTAGGTGCATTGTCACCATATTCTTAAATATGTGACATGACCCATACTCATGTGACTTGCCATCATTTAATACGTGTGACACGTCATATATTTACTTTGGCAATGATCAACTAATCTTATATCCTCCTTATTTCTTCAGACTAAAACTGGGGCTATAACACTGATTAGGGCTTTATCCGTGTGACTAGACTATCCAAGCTCACCAATCGTGAGGTGTGACCTGGTCAAAGATCACAGGACTCACTCTCGGACCACAACTTCCCCTATTCTCAAATTCCTAGGGTATCTCATACCTTAGGCTATTCTCCTCATTGAACTGGTGGAGATAGTTAGGTTCTAGTCCCTCGACAAACTATGAGACAGTCCCTCAATAAACAATGGGACAAAGCTATACCCTCGTGCACCAAAAGGTAGCCTAAATATCATATCAATTTTTCTCTACTCCTAATCCCAAAGCAAACTCCTACCACTGATCATGCCATAATCAATTACTCACTCATTTTCACTTTTTCATTTTCATATACTCATTATTACAACAATTATGTTAGGCTCACGACCATATGCTACTCAAGTATGTATTCTCATCATTTTCTCAAAATTCATTTCTCATTAACACACATCTATCTCACATAATCATCATATTCATTTTTCTAAAGACATATGCAAGTTCATATTCAAAACATATTAATTAGGCATTTTCATTTCAATTCAAAATAACTTTATGCACATTCAATTTTTCATATACTCATTGAAACTAGCACATGCTTTTTCATGTTGAAAATTAACCCGTGCATGGCACACTCATAATGAAATTCCATTTACAATCAATTAATATATAACTACCCAAAGTAGAGTTTCCTCCGGTTACCTTAAACCTTTGAGAGGTCAAAGGTTTACCCCTCAATCAACTAACTTCCAAACTTGAATTTTCAATCCAATAGGTGACTAAGAGCCAAAACTACAATCAACCAACTTGAATTTTATCAACATAACTAACCCAAGCATTTAAACTCTCAATCTCCACTTCTAAATTGTCTAACATTCACTCTACAAGAGTTTGAGCCTGTCCATTGGGTTTAATAATTACCTTTAGTCCCCAATAACATTAATGATCTATTAAATCCCCATTAATGGCATCACAAACTTCCAATCACCCATAATAAATGAGATTTTTGGATATTAATGGTGCCCAACAACTTAAGACACCAAAACTCATTATACCTAGTTTAAGTACTTTAATATACTCTCATTAACTCCATTTGAGTCAATAAATTCAGACCCATACCTCATATGGACCGAAATCACCATCCTCATCTAAACATTAACTCAAATCCTTGAGAAAATGGAAGAGGAAAGGAGAAAAAGGGCTTAAAAATCTTACCTTAGATGGTTTAGAGCTTCAAACCTCCTCAAATTCTCATCTAAGTCGTGCCCCAGCAGAGCATTGGCACATCTCTCCATTTCCTCTTTTCTTCCTCTCTATTTCTATCTCATTTCGCGTCTGATACTGCAGAAAATGGCCATGCACAATGGCGAATGCATAATGCGTCGCGGTGCATGACATAGAGAGGTCCTCCCTCGCTTAGAAATGTCTTTGCGCCACAACGTGTGGCACAACAACATCAACTTTTCCTTTTCTTCTCCTTTTGATGCCCGGGTGGCCTGCCTTGATACTGGACCTATAATTAGGGCTGAAATACCATCAAATATGATTATTAGACTTCTCTAGCCATACACCACTTCAACTTACTTAATTACCCTAATTAGGTTTTATTAATTAGAGAATTAAAACTCAAGATGTTACAGGAATGAACCTCCAAATAAATAGATAAAATTAATATTGTATTATTGAATTTGTGACTCATTTTTCAATTTTAAAATTAAAAATATATTGCATTATTTGAAAATACCACAATTAAGAACAAGTGACACTTTAGTTGTAAATATCCGTTAATTTGACGTTAGTTGACTAAAAAAATTATAAAGAATAACCTAGAAAATTTAAAAGACATAATCAATATTAATTTTTTTAAAAGATCATTTTCTTACTAAATATTAAATATTTTAATAATATTTATTAAATTTTATTCTAATAAAACTTCAAGGTATCCTCGCTCCAAGAAAAAGAGTTTAAGGAGGGACGAGTTGGCATCAAAGGACATGCCATATGAAA